TAAAATCCTTCATGTTGAGAAAAGGGCTGCAATTGGGATGGGAATCTTTTGCCGCTATCAGCCATCATGGCAAGACCTCAGTTTAATGCTCAAGGGTAAATGATTCCAATCCCAAACCACATCAGCCTTCTGTTTCACAACATGCAGGATTTTACACAGCTTATACATAACACAGGACTGAATTGATTAAGGCAAGATATTTAGTTGCAGTGTCCAAAAATGTTCTTGTGATCAATTGACCATTGGGCAGTGAGGCGTTGTGTAAATTAAATGAAACTCATAGGGGTTGAGCCAAGGATAAGGAGTATCTGCACAATTAAACATTTTCAAAAATGACTTCTTGGTTTTGTAGTTATTTCAAAAATAGGCAGACGGACACTCTTTTGGGGACATACTGTATAAAATGTTTACCGTGGTTATTACATATACATTGCATTCTAAAAAGCCGTGGGTCAGATTTGACCCGCAATCCGGGTCCTGTTTGACTTGAGCCTTTTCAGGGTCAAAGTGACGCATTTCCGGGTCAAAATTACACTAAGAAGCTATTCAGTTGAGGTATAACCAGAGATTGCACACAAGAATTCAAATACAAGTGACATTGAACAAAAAATTTATCCAAGACTGAAACATATATTTTTACTGTCAGAGTTGTTTGTGTTGTAGGCCCTACATAAGGAACAAATCCAGTTTATTATCTGAAATGATGCGGGTGATTTTTGTCTGTTTTCCTGTGCACGTTTTCGCTCTTTCACGGAGGTAGGAAAACCTCCATGGTTCATTGTATTTGAAGGATATTCATCAGTGCGTATCAGTAAATTATCAGGTGGACAGCTGATGTTTGTGTGGTATTTCTATTAAAATAGAAATAATCTGTTATTTGGAGTTTGTAAATTTATGTGAAATTTTCATAGTAACCAGTCAATAACATGTGCTTTATTCCTATTTTATTTATTGAAAAGTTGAACAAAGAAATTTACTGGAGCGGGTTTTGAACCTGCGACCTCCGGATTACCGTTCCGTTGCTCTACCAACTGGGCTATCCAGCCCTATTTTGGCGGTTCCCCAATTTGTCAATATCTGTGTTCAAGGTTCAAAGCCATAAACCAGTATGCCATACAGCCAGGGATCACGCCCAAAGTCACGATACAGACCTGGGAAATAGCAACGGGGATCACTTGGAGGGATACGGCTTTTTATTACAAACTTTCAAATAAACCACATAGGGAAACTGACTAGGGAAATTATAACAATTGGAAAGTTAACAAAATTGACTGGAGCGGGGCTTGAACCTGCGACCTCAGGATAACCGTTTCGGTGCTCTACCAACTGAGCTATCCAGCCCTATGTTGGCGGTTCCCCAATTAGTCAACATTTATGTTCTTTATATTAAATGGAGCCCCTTTTATTACTCGCTCACTTTCTTTTTGACTCGCCCTGCACATGCTCACTAAAAAAGACTACCTATAGATGTGTGGTATCATTACTTGGCAGAACGTGCGACATTTTTTCAGCTGCTGTGTATGTGTCCAGACCCAGACAGCATTTTACCCGAGGCCTGCTATTAACATGCACATTTTCCACCGCTGATCATTAACTTTGTTCCGAGGCATAATTCTTCCTCTCCTTTACATTCAATCGATGTCCTGCTGAAATAGCTTGCAGTCATTACACTGCACAGCTGTGATTTCATTTCATCTTTAAAGGGAATATACATCATTTGCTTTTGCTGTAAGTTTCAGAAATGGATGGAATTGAGGGGTTGGAAATATATAGCAAATATAGTTACACTGACTTTTTTGAGGTTTTGGGTTCGAAAATGCTATAAAAACCAAGAAAAACAATCATTTTCCTGTAGTCTGGTTCCCTGACTCCATTTGAGAAGAAACAGAGTAGTTTACATACATTGGGGAATTGTAAGGTCAGGGAACCAGTCTAGCTGGCTTGTACCCGTTCCTAAATGTGTAATCGATTGCAAACAAGTGCGATGGTCAACTGGGGCCAGTATTTGAAAAAAAACCCAGTTTTTTCCAACGCTGGTCGGCCGATCAGCGTTGGAAATTGATACAAAAATATCACTTTTCTTGAAAATGACAGTATACCAGGTGCCATGATTTTACAGGATGCTTTACACTGTCATTCACTAACAGTCCAGCAAAGTATTTCAAAATGATTTGGTAGTTTTATTTTTTGATGTTTGCAAATGTTGTATTTTCCCTTTAAAGAGGAACTCGTAAAAGCCTGCCACAAATTTAGCTAACTTTATTCATTAATACCTGGAAAATTAATTTTCAACAACGTCATACGATTTGTACATTCAACTAAATTGAATAGTAAATTAAATGTGACGATAGAAATACTCCAACGCAAATTCTCAATGTTTGGTGCACATCATATTACGTAACAATACACAATTTAAACTACCCTCTTAAGAGAGGCAATGAAGTCATTTTTTCCGGCGTGTGTACTTTGACCGTCATTGAAAGTTTAATTAAACGTAAATTATACTTTGGTGCTTGTGATCTCAAATTCTCAAAATCGCTCGTAAAAATTTCAATTGAAAATATTTTCTAAGATAGAAGTATGGTTGTTGTTGATGTACAGGGTTGGGCAAAAAGAGGGAAACCCAGTTTTGACAGCGATTTTCACCTACTTGTTGAGCATATTTCAAAAATTCGATTTAACGGTTTTAAAATTTTGATCTTCAAGCATAAGTGACGAAAAAATGATTGCAAATGCATATGTTGTTTTTGAGATATGGTAGTTTAAACATTTCATGTCCCAAACCTGTTTGTCTACGGACGGCTCTATTCCACATGATTGAATGAGCTCCGGAGCTTGATTTGAAGACAAAAACACTACACGACATGGACAACAGTGATTTTGGTGATTTGTATTCAAATTAGCATAATAACACTATTCTTGAGAGTTTTTAAACGATTTTTTTCACCACGTCTGGTTAAGAGCTATACCTCCCTACATTGTAAAAAAAAACTTCAAATAAGTAAAATAAGTAGACTAAAATTCCTATCAATTCCTGGGTTTCCTTCTTCATGCACCACCCTGTAGTAGTTTGGGCGCATCGCGAATGCAGTTGTATGAAGTAGGCCTATCATGCACGGAGTGACATTGGACGGTAAATTCAACGGAGTACCTATCTGCTGTGGCAGATGTTACTGCCGCTTGAAATGTGTTCCAAAAAGGGGAGTGACATTCTGAATGAGGCAGCATTGCAGCAGAGAGTTTTACATTCTTGGAACCTCTGAAGGCTTACCGCTATACACGTAGTACTTTAATCTGGATGAAAATATAATGAGGGCCTGGGACATTCATGGAACATTAGTTCCTAATGCATAACACATGCCGTGAAGTTCAATTTAGCGGTATCTGCTTGTCAGACACATGAAGCACTCTCATCAGTTTCCTCCATAAACTGGTCACGTTTTAGCCATTCTCACAAATTGAATCTACGTGATGGAAAGAGTAAATGATGTATATTTTTGTGAATGTCTTTGGAGATTTATTCATGGAATTGTTTTATGTATTTTATGATAGTACGGTTTAAAATGGCGTGCACTTCCGTGTTGTGACAAAGAAATAAAGTTACCTCAATTTAACTTTCATAGCCAAAGATGTACGTGTTATTTTACGGATTGTACATACGATTGTGTGTCTGGAATCAAGACTAGCACCCGAGAGTTCGATTTTGGAGGTCAAGACTTTGACCCCCGAATTTTGTTCTTGCAAGAACAACCCCCCAAAAAGGTCAATGTTTACAGGAAGGACGTTTATATTCTACTTGTAAATGCTCTTTCCAATAAATATCATTTCGTTAGCCCAATTGGGCCCATTCAAGGACGTAGTGTCCCTTTAACCTTTCCTATTAAAATCAACTCCCTGAATGACGTCAAGATTCTATGCTATACACTGGAGAATGTATCCAATGGAAAACAGACCTCCGATTGCACTGCGTCTCTAACGAGGCTTCAGTAACTTGAAAGCCCAGGGAAGCTGATCGACTTTTGTCCACGAGTCGCGTTCGGCCCTTTTGATAACTTGCCCATTCTGGAAACCCAGAAAAGCTAATGCGAAGAAAAGTATGGCGGGCAAATGTAACATTTAATCGTGAAATAGAGATATCTCTATAATAATGATATCAGTATTCCCAGACGTGCCGAGTTAAAACTAAAAAGTGATCTCAGATAGAGAGCTGTGGTTTTCCAATGAAGATATCTCTATTTCAAATGGAGACATTTAAAAATGTGTACACCACAGAAGAAGTGCATTGTTGTCAATATGCTCTCGGAGTTTCGAGGTCGTAGATGCAAATATTGGAACTCAGGAAGGCCAGGTACTTTTCACTGACGGCCATGAAATGAATAACTCCGGTAAAATCGTCCCTAAAATCAAACATTAGTACCGATTTTTAACCTAGATTGCAGCCCCTGGAACGCTTTGCATGTAAGACAAGACAAAACTCCGCAAGATGGATCAATGAAATTGCTCTTCGACTGAGCATTATGTTGCCACCGGCCCGCCTTTTAGTAGTTTGGTAATTAGTTTAGCAGACCTTTTAGTGGTATTACCAATCGATGAGATTGTTTCATCCGCGACTTTAAAAACGCCGGTTCCCGACCAACGGCAAAAACATTAAGACGATTACTGTCTACACAGTGAAAGTCATTAAATAATGCGATTTTCTAAATATAAAAAAAAATCTTGGCAACTGCCCAGTTTCGGTCACCAAACAAACAGCAGAAAAGGGTATCTTGACCTTTTCGTCAGCAGATCTCTTAATAAAAAGGGCATTAGCGCAAATCGGGGAATATTTTTTTCTGCAACTGTCAGTTTCTAAGGTGAACAAACAAGAATTCATAATATTTGACTTGGTAATGGACACCTGTTTTGGGGGCGATATTTACTGTGTATCAACTGCAGGCGCTTGAAGTGAAGTATTCCTTTTAATATGTCAATCCTGTTTTGTTTATGACCTGGCAGATCAATTGAGTCTGGGGCTGCACGCGGCGCCGGCTGAGGACGAGCCCAGAGGCATCCTAGCCAATGGCGGTTGTTGCTGATTAGAACTCATCGATGATTGGATATCAAAGGAAACCACGCCAGGAAAGAAGCGTTGTGATTGGCTAATGTCATCCTTAGGTCACCAACTTCATCCAACTTTATCCCCGTGTTGATCGTCCTGTGCATGAACTGTGTGTAGTATAACTGCGAAACGTGCATCAAGAAAGGGAAGTGACGTTGTTTCGGTAACTAGCATCTACGCTTTATGTGCTCTTTCAGTTCACCGAAGCGTGCACTGAAATCCGGAGGGTTGCGTTCTGAGAATTTTCCCTTCAAAAATCAACTGTCACTGCTTTAATTACCGTTTACGTCAGCACCGGGCTCACAATTGAAGTACCATTTTCTGAGAGTACTTACCCGTAGAACTGCTTTTAGCTGCACCAAAGGAAGGGGCCGCAAGAGCGCTGTTTGTTCCCGAGCCTCCATACTGAAGTATCCTTTTGGATGTAGAGAGAGTATATCGTCGCACGCGCATTGCATCGCGAAGTCATCATCGGGGTTCCTGACTGCTTGCCGTTACCCTGTAATGTATATTTCATATTTTTTTTCAGACAGCTTGACTTTTTTGAGTTTGTATAAGGTAATCTGTAATTTAAATTGCTCGTCTGATTTTTGCTTGATGTGCAAGTCAGTTTTCTCTGTTCTTATTGGCATTTCGCTGTTCAATTCAGATACAGACAATGTAAAATATAAACTGTATTAAACTAAACTCATCAAGCAAACTGCATCATAAAGCAGACTGCATCAAGTCAGAGCAAGGAATTCGCGGACGCAACATCCGTAATATACGACATTCATATTACAATATGTTATGTGAGCATGCACATCTTTCATAAATCTTAAAGACAACTGGAATGTACTGTGCTCAATAAAGGCATCCATCCATTGACTTGCATATAGCTCATATTGCTTCGTTTTTGTTACGCTTACCTATGAGGGTGGCTTTCGCCTGTTGTAATGCCACCGACTTACAATCAATCAGCCCAGTGAACCGAAGCTAACCTCCAAACTAAATGATCTGGAGCCTTGACCATCGCCCATGGGTGACGCACGTTCCCCTGGGGGTTGGAGCAATGTGCTGGATATTTAATATGTCTCGGGCTGTATCTGCAGAGGAATAAGGTTAATTGCTTTCAGGTGTACGTATTATATACTGGCGCATATTTTAATCGATCTTTTTTGGGCCCCACAAAACTTAAGGGTATCTTTTACATAAACTAAAAGGTGCAAAAAGTGAAAACGACAGTTTGAAAATTGCCATGCTTGTTTTTAATATTTTTAAAATAGATAAAACACTAAAAACCAAAATTACATTTAAAGCAAGATTAACGGTCATTGTTATAACATAAATGATATCCTTATTTTATTGCATTTGTTTATCTTGCAGGACATCAGCTCATAGTCTCTTTGTAGCAAAGAGTGTTCAGGATAATGTAGCCTGCCAAAGGGACATCGTTGCGCGTTGATTTTCGTGCAACTACATCTCCTGCATCGGAAATCTTAATTGGATGTGAGAACTCGGAAATGACCATTAACTCCATCCATTTTCAAGAGTAGCACCGTCGCAATGGATACCAATTCCACCAGTGACTATGGCTATGGGAGCAGTGACGATTACCTGGCTTCGATCTTCGAACTTTTTAAAGAAAAAGTGTACCCACGCCCTTACGAATACTTGATCATTGTCATCTATGGCTTGGTCTTTCTGCTGGCCATCATTGGCAACACGCTGGTGTGCATCGCCGTTCTGCGCAACGAGCACATGCGGACGGTTACCAACTACTACATAGTGAATCTAGCCGTGGCCGACATCTTGGTTTCGCTGGTATGTCTCCCCATAACGGTGGTGGTGGATATCTCGGAGTCCTGGTTCTTTGGGGATGTGATGTGCTCCGTCATCCCTTACATACAGGTTCGTGTACACTGTTAGTAGAGGCTTGTTAAAGGATAGACCGGAAGTGTGCATTGAAAGTAATATTTGCAATGTACAGCACGTTCCAAAATACTCGCAACAGTGTTTTTTTTTGCGAGGCTCTAGCGTCGCCGCGGAAACACGTACCGCCATTATATTTATATCATTTTAAAGCTTGGAATCTTAACTTTATCTCTGGTAAGTATTTGCCTTATGTTTAAAAGGAATTTTAAATGATTTGTGTTCAAAAAGAGGCATGTCGAAAACAAACTCAACCTATTTCAAGGAAAATCAATCATGCGGTTTTTTCTATTGTGGAAATGGTTCATCATGTTTACGATGTGACGATCTCGTTGCCGTTTACTTTCCGTGCTTGTATTTTTTTCAATCCACGTAGAATACACCTTAAATAAATTCACAATGTTGTTCTTCGTTTCAAGTTCAATTTTGAAATTCACTTGCAAGTATGTACTTATTCAAAAAGCGCGCTCAAAGTATGACTCAAGTTTTCATGTGAAACCGGTTGAGTTTGTTTTCGAAATGTCTGTATTTAAACACGAATAATTTAAAACTCTTTTCAATATCAAACCAATACTCACCAGGGATAAAGTTCAGATTCCAAGCTTTAAAATGGTATAACAATAATAGCGGTACGTGTTTCCGCGCCAACGCTAGAGCCTCGCAAAAAAGTTGCAGGTATTATGGGACGCGCTGCATTGTGGGACTGTTGCGCTAATTAAGGGGGTTTTGTGCAGCGCAAACCGTCCCACAATGCAGCTAACAAATACTTTCAGTCCGTATTTCCGGTAGAGCAGCTATCCGTAAAAGAGTCTGTAGACTCAAACAGACTTGGTAAAATACATGCGAAATTCACGGATCTACCAAGCACATTTACAAAGCGCAGAAATTCTTTGCTTAGAAAGTCCGAAGAGTTAAGCTTGTTTACCGGTCAAAATGTATGCTATATGCTCTCAACTGCTTTTTGCTCATAGCACTTGATTTACTATGAACTAGTTTCTGCTGAGCAGTTCTTTGAAATTGGTCCCAGATTTGTTCCATTTTGTGTTCTTGAGGAAGATAATTTGTCGCAGTATTGGTTGAATCCGATCGATGCAAAACACGTTCTGATCTAGTGGAACTCAATTCTTTCGCTAGTGTATAGAATTTTCAAAAGCAACACTAAATAGGTCAACGCGTTCTGGGCCACTGACCCACTTATGTCCGGAATGAATTCGCATTGGTCATCTAAATGTTGAGACAGACAAACACCAATGTATCGTGAAACCGATCTAAGTTTTCGCGCAGATAATTGTACATGCGTGCCCCCGCCTCCATTGTCTACCGGGGTAGGGAGCGTGTTTCCCGGGGGAGATAAGACGTGACAAGGCCGCTCTCCCTGCATTTTCTCGCGTAAGTGGTAATTACATCTCGTGTACCGTGTTAATTTAGCCGGGGCCTTGAGCATATTCTGTATTACCGTAGATTTGCCGCGCACGGTTCGCCATTTTACTCGATTGGTTTTGTGAATGTCCAAATGTCTCACTTCGGGATCCGATAATGTGCACTGCAGTAAGTCTATTTACATTCAATTTGACCCCAGAATTTATTCTCTCGATTAGTTTGTTCGTCGGGTTGGTTGTTTGTGTGTTTGTTTTTTGTTACTTCAGTCAACGGAAGTTGAATATGTTTTACTTGATGCCTTTTCTACCAGGTCCGTTCCGCTGAATTAAAAAAAAAAACAGAATGATATTCACTTGTACGTCACACAAAAAAAATCGGTATAGACAAATTCGGCGGCAGTCATTTTCTGCGGTGGCACCAGGCTCGCGTGAGTCGCGCTCAGGTTCTACATAAATACGCACGTCGGGCTCCTTCGACCAATAGGAATACCAAAATGCGTGCGCGCCTCGTCTTTAAGAACGCGTGCAGCATGCGCGTGAGCGCGACACCGCCTCAGTAAAAGCTTCAAAATTTGGTCTCCGGAGTCCACTATGCAATACGGGATATTATTATCATCTGTAACCGCTTAAATATTTTCCAAATTGAAACATCACCGCTTCCATGATTATCAAACGTGACAGTTTCCACGGAGTTGTAATTAACTTTTCTGTCTGTGATACTAAACCAGCAGCTGGGACTCGATCATTAGGATTCCGGATGACAACTGCAAACCAGCATAAGTCAATGGAACGGTCGTCATTATTGGCTTGAGAAGCTAGAGAGGTCATAAAATCAAGTCTCTTGGCTCGTTCATGGCCCTAAAATTTAAAAGCTGATGTCAAAAGTTCGAGGAGGGGCTACATATCTCTTAGATATTGCAAACCTAATAAACTGCCTTCTAAGAGGGAATCCGGAAGGGAACATCAAATAGGTGTATGAAATAGGTGGACGTTTTGTCGTAGTACGGGGTGTATCAAAAAAGGTAATCCAAAATCAATCGGCTCATGTGCATAAGTTAGAAAATTGTTGCATGTCAAATTGGTCTCATTTTAAAGATTAGTTCATTTGGCTTCAGTTTATACCAGATGACTGAACACCATTGCTTGCAAAACAAAGGCCAAAAATACAGATCCAGATCCACGCATATTTAAAACACACCAAAAAAGTAAACATAACCAGGAATGGGTCATTAGGGAAACTTTCCTATAGACTTGTGCACAGAATTTTTCCAACTTTAATGTGCCCTAATCCAATATTCCCTTGTCGTTTTTCCCCCGCAATTCGGTATGTTTATTAATTAGACCACGAGCAACAAAAATAACCTTATTTCGACGGTTAAAATGTCCCCCTAAAGGGGGCTGTGCCATTATTAGCGATTATGTGTCACCCTAATGACCGGTACGTGTCTTCCTATTTTCGAAGAAATTACGATAACGTGTCTCCCTAATGGTACATTTAGTAACATACGTGTTTTTGTAGATATTGGAAAAATAATAACACGATTAGTTAAGGTATTACTTTACATAATCCCTTTTTTCTCTGTACCGGGGGGGGGGGGGGACACGTAATATTTGAAAGTGAGGCTTATAGGGCTGCCCCCGAAATACTTATCTACGGTATGCATATGGGAAGTGGATTCGAGCTTCCATCAGTGATGTGTTATTGCAAGCCGTAACCTAACTTGCATTGTATTTCTCTGGTGCCAGAGGAGCCGTCCTGTCGTCCATTTTGGCCCTTACTGACCGACTCACTGAGTCACTGACTGTCATTCAGTCTATTTCAGTGTCAGTTGGTGCAAGGGTGGATCCAGAACACAATTGGGGGGGGGGGGCAAAAAAATCGAACGATTACAGTACAAGTTCTCAATATAACAAATTAATCATTCTTGCAATTGTCCTCCAAAAGAAAAGAAAGAAAATGAAACAAAAAGTTATGTGGCGATGGCCAAGTCTTCAGGAGTCGGACTTATGACCCTAACTCAATGAGCCCCTTACCGACTTCCATATAGAACTCTTCTGGGTCTCGGTACCCGGCCCACCACACCTCCTTCCCTGTCCATCCATGTAACTCGAAAGTCAGGCACCATAAAGGGAGGAAACGAGGTGGCACCCTAAGCCTTGCTGCCGAGTCAGCAAAAGAACCCCGTACCTATACGCAGACGCCAACCTGGACTTCGCAGACAGTCCCAACTTGTGAGTCAGCTTACCGACCGACCGAGCTAACTGCTGTTGGTAAATGACGACGGGAAACTAATACTCTTAAATGACAGAACCGCGGGCATCGAAAGCCCAAAAAAATGACACCAAGCGGTTTCGAACCCCTAACCCTGGGTCCGCTGTCAGACAGCTTAACAACTAGGCTGTTTCAGTAGTTGCTTTTCTCTTTGCGTTTAAACCATTATACTTATTCCCGCAGTTGGAGAGTTACTTTGTGTTTCATAGCTGCACGAAAGATGCATCAGAATCACGCTATACACGCGAATGCTGTTACGTAACTCGTTTCTACAATCATTGTTATGTAGCGAACAGTTGACTATTCAGAGTCACTGTACGAGCAATTAACCTTACTAAGCTCGTCCTTACTCCGTCTCATCAATTGTTTCGCGTCGCGCGTCTTTCGGTCGGCACTGACATATCGCGCTGATTGAGAGAAATTGTAGCAAGTTTCCCCTACCTCATTATATTTATATCAAACTACTGACACCTTTACAAAATATTTACGAGGGAAATTTGTTTGTTTGATTCCAATTCAGCTCCCTTAGCTGTAGCTTGGGAAAAATCATCTTTTCTTGTACTTACGCTAAGTCTGGGGAATGATGCCATTATAATACAATGTCACATTAACGTCAGCCGGTGGCATGATTAGAATCGTGACCATGCGAGTGCAGTGACGGCCAGTGGCGTAAATCTGTGCCGTCGAGTGGGGGTGGGGTGGGGTGGGGAATGCGGCGTGACCAAAATCATAAAATCCGTGCGATTCACAATGCAATGCGCCAACAAGAGTTTGCCATAGAGAGTCAGTTGTTCAAATTTACGGTCGACAAAACAAGGCCCATTTGAATGAGTGTCATTAAACAACTTTAGGTAATTGGTTATGAATTTGGGTGTAGCGTTCTGCCGCCTTACTAAAAACACAATATTGATACAAAGAAAAGAAAAGGGCAAATTTATACTCGAATCATATCCGCTAACGAAACTACTGACCGGAAAAAAAACTAACAATTTCAAACGTCCCGCGCTGCGAATTTGTCGACATTCTCCTATAATGCACTAGGAAAAATGAACTCTCCGTGGCAAACTTTTGGTGGTGCACTGCATTGTGAAACGCCCGAATTGCCCGGCCGTGGACATTCGAAGGGGGGGGGGAGGGGGAGGGGCTGAACACCACATTATACTAGGGACGCTCTTTATCAGTTATGTGTACTCTTATTGTATTTTAAAAAGCTTTTGTACGTTGTTTCTCCACGTTTCGGTGCTATGAATACATTTTAGTTGCTGGGACGTTCGGAAAATACCTCAAAATCTTATATATTATTTTCTCATCACAAAAAAGTGGGGATGATTCAATAGCCCCCCCCCCCCCCTGGTTAAAAAGTGTGGGGTATATACCCCCACCCCAACCCCGGGAACTATGCCCCTGATGACGGCGCACAGAGCCAACGATCCTGTCACTCGCATAGTCATTTTTTCGTCTATTTTCGTTCACATTGCAAGGATTACATGTTACCCAGAGCACAATTTACTGCCAACATTGATATACACTTTTAAGAAAACAATGTTTGCATTACATTTTAAAAGCGCGAGGAGCACTTTTATTTCTTTACAGGTCAGTTTTCCATTGACGTATCTTGATCAGTACTAACTATGCCAGTGCGAAGCCTATGCGGCGTGGGGTTCGGGGCAGCCCCAGAAAAAAAATGGATTCTAGGCGCCCTGTGGTGCGATCTGAGGCAATTTCTGACGACTGCGAAAGTTTAGCACGAGATCATCATTTAAACATCTTTTTTCGAGTTTGGAGTCATTTAATCAGCTGTTCTGAGCTCTGGAATCAAATGTAGGCTACATTTTTTAGTCAGGGACGAAAATCGTTGGGAAACGAACATGTCCCCCGTTCCCGTTGAAATAGTTTTTACAGTGTAAGTAAAATGAGTTTTTTTTCACAGGTTTTTCTTAACTACGTATTATGTGTTTGTCTCATAATACACACAGCATGTTGTTTCTCAAACGTCCGCGGAATGCGAAACACTGTGCGGCAGGATTCACAACTAGCACCCAACAGCTCGATTTTTTTTAGTCAAATTTTTGACCCTCGGAATTCGCCACGACGGTGGAAAGCGTTATCAAAAATGATGAATCAAAACCTGTCTTGGGAACTTTGACAATGCGTCCCAAGAAATTATGGGCATGCCTCACACGCTGTATTGAAGCTCATGCACGCGCATGATGATTGGTACAGTAAATCTAAATCAGATATTGGCCCCAGACTACTTTTATAGTAACAAATAATTTAAATAAATTACTTACCTCGAAATTTCTGTTTGCAGAACACCTCAGTGTGTGTGTCCATCTTCACGCTCACCATGATCGCGGTGGACCGCTATCTGGCTATCTGCCGCCCTCTCAAGTTCCAGATCTCCTCCAAGCGGACCGTGATCACGGTCATCGTCATCTGGGTCCTATCCCTGTTCACGATGCTACCCAACTCGCTCAGTATGGTCACCCGGTCAGAGCCTATCATGGAGACCTTCGGGAAGCCGCTCTGGCTGACCAAATGCAGTGATGTAAGTTTTATATTTCTTGTTCCAGAGGGGGCCGATCCAGTCTACAGGGCGAGTAAAAAAAAAAAACGAAACCCAAATGGCAGGACCAATTTTTGACTGAAGTTTTGCATGTAGCACTTTCAAAATCTGGGATATAAAAGCCCGGTCAGTAAGCTTTCTTTTTTGAATCATTCAAGTCACTCATGTACTTTTCAAGTCATGAAATCTTCAAGTCATGAAATTTTCAAGTCATGAAATTTTCAGGTCATGTTTTACATCCGCACATTCCATTTTACTTTGCCTGTAATTTTGTTGCATGAAGTTTCCTGTATTTGATATGAGAATGTTCAAATTCAAAAACGCTGCTTTCACGTCCGCATTGAAATGATACCTGTTACCGTTATTTGGTTATTAATAGTTCAAATGGGAGGATTCTCCGTGGAGGGCAGTGTACGCTGTAGTGACGCTTCTTTTCACCTACCTACTTCCATTGTGTGTTGTTGGAGTTGCTTATTGTATGGTGAGTGAAAACCATTGTCCTCATGTATCCTCTTGAAAAGTGTTCACCTTATTGATCTCGCAGGAAAATAACTCTTCTGTTGCTCTTGCACTTCGTTGAACTTTGAACTCTGGTGTTGAGAAATGAAAAAAGAGGGTTACGATAATACATGAAAACCGTATTCTAGATATTTAGCAAAACTGAGTTTTAAAACCCCGGCTTCGTCCCCGGTTTTGGCTCTGGATCCAGAGTTATCAAGAAGCCCTTAATGGCCAACCACATCTCAAATGTAGTAAACTGTCTTGCCCAAGAACACATGCACAATGTTCCCCGTCAGGGTTCGACCCCACGTACCACGGCACGTGAGTCAAACACCATAACCATTGGACCGCAGTTCTCCACAATTGTGTGGGTGAAAGTTATCTACGATTTCGTCACCGTTTTCACGAAGGGGCGAATTTCATGAAAATCGTCTGTTTTTCGAAATTTGTTTTTGGGGTGAAAATGAATAAATATATCAATATCTACAATCTGGTGAGGGGCTATACTTTCAAAAAATTAATTAAAATCTTAATTTACCTAATTAGCGAGTGGGCGAATTTGCCAAAAGTGCCGTTTTGCGTTTTCACGAAGGGGCGAATTTCCGCACTCTGTGGTATTAATAAATTTTTAGTAAATAGATATATCACGAAGGGGCGAATTCCAAGCGCGTGCAATAAAACATTTTCACGAAGGGGCGAATTTCAAGGCGCATGCGCAGTGGGGCAGAATCTGCGTGTACTGTACAAAAAATGCATTGACTCAGACCGCAGAAGGGCGAAATCTGCGCGTAGTGACTTTAGCGTTTTCAGGAAGGGGCGAGTTTGCTAAATTCTGTAAAACTAATCACCTATTTTTCTTAAAGTTTGCTACATTTAGGAAGATTAGAAGCTCTGCTTTCCTCTGATACCTAAATCTTGCATATTTTATGCATCTTTAAGTTTCAAATTGTCAAATGAAAAAAGGACCAACTTCAAACGCGATTATATCGAATGTTTGTTCAGACAGTGAAATACTAAATTCGCCTCTTCTTGAAAACGGTCACGATTTGTTCGTGTCAAAATGACACCTGTCTGGGTCAAATAGCCCAGAAAAATCAAGAGAAAATTTATTTGACCTGAAAAAGTGTCAGGTTTATGACCTGGATCTGGGTCGAAACTGACCTGTGGCTTTAAATAGTCAATGTAAGGGGTCTAAAGTTATCTTTAGGTTGAAGCATGGCCGCCTGGTAACCTTTTCAACCTTGCCCATTCCAGGTGTGTCTACGGCTTTGGTCTGGTATCCCGTCCGACGAGACAAGTCACAAGTCCAGCAACAACAATGCTCAAGGCAACGGCAAGAGCAAGCGCGCCCCCCGCAGCATGAACAAGAGCACCGAAGCACAGCTGCAATCTCGCCGAAAGGTGGCGCGCATGCTGATTGTCGTTGTGGTCCTGTTTGCTGTTTGCTACCTTCCTATACGTGTCCTGAACGTTTTGCAGTGAGTCGTACACTCTTAAAAGTTACTGGTCGGATGTGACCCGAAATGACCTGGAATCCAGATCGTACGGTATTTGATACTTCAACGGGTGAAAATGACACCTTTTGGGGCCAAGATGACATTCTCTGGATCGATTTCCGTGTCATTTTGACCAAAAACCGTGGCAGAAATGTCATTTTGACCCTACAAAGTACGTGTCACTTTGACCCTGAAAAGTATCAGGTGAAAATGTGACCCGGATTCCGTGTCAAATCCGACACGGGACAGTTTAGACTATTTTACAAAGTAACAGCTTTTGACTTACAGGGATATTTTTGGTAGTACCAAGTATTCACATGTACGTTGTGTGTGGTTTTGAGAGGATCTTTGCACACGCCATGTAAAAACATCTAACATAGGAAAGCCAGCCAGAGAAGCAAACATTAACATAACATCGTAGAGTTACAAACATGCAACACAGCTTCCCTGGTGTATTGCTTTCCGCAAGTGACTATGTGAAGTCAACCCATTTGTGAAAATTTGTTTAGGTATAAGTGGTATAAATGCAATGTATACATGACTCCAGATTATACTTTTCTCGGGTAAAAATCGGTGTCACTTGACCAAATGCAAATTGGTGACTAAATGTAACAATGTCTGTCAGGTATAATGCCATCTTTTCTTGATTTCACCAGTGTTTGTCTTTGTCTACTTTACTAACAAACTTTTAGAGCTTTTGGAGTGTTTGGTTTGGACAACATTGACATGATGCGGCATGGAGAAAAGGTCACTGTCGCTTATCTGATAGCGCACATTATGGCGTTCTTCAACAGCGCTATCAACCCTGTCATATACAACTTCATGAGCGGTAAGTTTCAATGCCATTACAAAACAGGTGTTTTGAGAAAGGTCTTGCAACATTCTTAAATGTACCGGTTCAGATTCAACCCGAAACCGGAGCAGATTCGACTCGAAACTCTTTTTGGTCAAAATTACAATGTCTCTTTTAAATGACACTTTCCTTGATCAAAATTGATAATTTGTGTGTCAAAAGGACAGGTTTTCCGGGTCAAATGGCCCGGACGAGTGTCTCGGTGAAGTGTCGTTTGACCCGGAAGAGTGTCAGGTCAAATCCGACCTGCCGTTGGGTCGAATCTGACCCGGGACTCGAAGCAGTGAACTTGAGTTAATCGTAAGTGAATGAAATTAGGTTATTTTCTTGATCAATCCAATGGGTTTCATGTAAATGTATCGGTGGTAAGAGATGACCATAACTCAATACAATGCAAACCTATCCACTGTTATCGTTTGTGGTATAATTTGCTTAGCCTCATCATTGTCTGAGGTTGTTTGCTGATAGCATTTCCGGGACATTTGTTTGGTTTGTAGTTTTGTATGCCTGTCTGCACTCCGTGTCAGTATCACAAAGAAGAATTGAAGTTACTTTCATTTTTGTTTGTTTTAGGTAACAATATTTGTTGTTGGCCCATTGTAAACAAGGTGCATGCTCAGCACAGTAAACTATAAGCATGTCAGTTTCCCACCTTGTTTTATACTTTTCGTACAAACGTAATATAAAACTATTAATACTCCTCTCTTCGCGACTGGCAAGTATCTTAAATTCATCCACTCCCAGAAAAATTCCGGCGGCAATTTCGAAGGCTTTTGTGTTGTCAAGGAGAGCCCCTACGTCAGCATTACGTCACAGAATACAAAAGCCGGAGTGCTACAAATCGCACACGTTGCAGGGTGGTATAGGGCTACCTGTTAAGTAAGTTCCAATTGCTGGGTTGGTATAAACATGTTGGCTACTTACCAATCATCAATGTAACTTGGCAACATTTACCTTTAAATGGACGCAGTGCCTTAGTTTTCGAATTGAAAACAATATGACAACAGTCTGAAAGATTTGTGATTTTTCAGAATCAAGCAAGTGTGCCCTCACAGCAAATTTGAATGTGTAATACTCCCAAATGTTCAAAGAGTCAAACTAGGGACTAGACGATTCTGGATGAAAAGCACTCTTAACTTTGGATTGAAATACTCTGACAAAAAAAAATAAGTAAATTGGAAACTTGACTGAATTCACGATCAACATGAATATGATGGCACGAGTTTAATTCTAAAACATCTGCGTTTTAACGCCAGTTGGTCGGAGTAAAAATTGAAGTTGTACTCTTTCGAAATAGAAGAGTATATACCTGTCAAAACAGGTCAATTCAAACTTTTGTTTTATTAGTATGATACTGGTATTTCGTCCTCTTAAGTTTCGGTTACACAAAATTATTTTTTTGCTGTTGCAACTGTGTTAGTTACGGGCAGTTAGTTGCTTTTTGGTTTTATATTGATTACTTTCTTGGTATTCAAAATATGCATGTTTTTTAAGAAAAAAATATTCCATGGTGAATAAACTGAAATGGAAACTGATGGCACTGTGTCCCTTTCAGAATGAAACGTTATCCAGATACATGTACTTTCTTCAGAAACAATGTAGAACTATATAGCAATGATTTGGCTAGGCATGACATTCATTTAGCATACTTACTGAGTAATATTCAGAGCCAGCCTGTTTCGTGTACATGGTCATTTTTACATTGCAAGTATCAATACGACATTTATATCAAGATTCATGTAAATAGAAATTAGCAATACAACAATCAAATGCAATCATTCGACGATGAAGAGTAGAAAAGCTCACCCATTCCTCAGAGAAATTGCTGTTGAATATGACTAATTACTTTCATCAATATGTTTTTCCATTGGTATTGTTGGGAATGCAAATATGTACAAATGCGTTTTTATGTCACCTCACCTGATGTACACATCGCCGATCAAATTTGACACTGAAAGCAATTGTTGCAAGCAACTTTGTCTATCCTGTCTATTTTGTCATTCTGTGGTAGTTTAGTGCATGCTCGTTAAAACTTGACAATAGGATCACAATGCATGATACAGCGAGTGATCAACTAAACTATTAATTTGCTTCATACAAAATGTAGTTAGATTGTGCATTTGGAGTACACAAGTTTGTACAGCTTCTCTCGCCTTTTCCATCTTTTCACAAAAGTGTGTAACATTCAAATTCTAATAATTATCTTTTTTATGCATTCACATTGTAACATCTTTCTCTGATGGGACTGTTATGTCCGCCATTGCTACATACCGACAATGCCGTAGATTTAATAACGTTTTTTTTTTATATCTATTTAATACTTTTTATCCATTTCAAGTCATATTATCATAAAAATCATTCTCAGTTTCTCTAAGTTTGTGCTGGCTGGACATCATCTATTGTTTCCCATTGCGGCAATCATTTTTGTCGCATCCCCGTTTTTAGTACTGAGTACCATTTGACTATACGTATTTTAAATTCTTCAATTTGAACTCAATATTCGATCTTCGTATCGTATTAATCATCATAATTTGAAATCAAGGTTTAATCTATTTGGAATCCTTTGTGGGTGCGCCCTCTCGCGGTCGAACTAATTGTCTAACGCCCATCGGTGTGAAAACTCCCCAAATCGAGTGATTACCCCCAATCGATTGATTAATATCGAAACCCGTCAACTGATTAAAGTATTGCCATTGATGTTTCTGTTTCGTCTCTTTTGCAGCCAAGTTTCGTCAGGCTTTCAAGATGGCGTTCAGCTGTTGCCTGCCCGCGTCCCAACGCCAGTCTCGCAACGCTGGGCGCTACGGATACAAATGCCAGTCTTTCATTCACAGCACGGCTGTGTCAGATACTCGCATGAGCAACACCAACACGGAGTGTATCTCCATGACCAACAGGCCCAACTCCATGCACATCCCGGATGCTTGAGAATGCGTTGCGAAGTTAGCACAAGTCGTAAAAAGTCATAAACAGTCATAACGGGTCAGTCACAAGGAGCGCTCTAGTCGAGTCTATCAAAGTCCATTACAAGTCATCCAGTCCCAAGCTCAGCCATGAAGCTATTCAAATGAACTGTGATAAAAGCATTCCTTTTGTTATTGTTCACCCATTGGCACTTGTGAATGGACTTGTGAATGGACTTGTGATTTACTCAACTACAAACACCAATACCAAGCCATCAAAAGTCATCCTAAAAGTCGACCGGTCGCAGGTCAAATGACGACCAATTGAAGGAACAGCGATAAGTGAATTCTTGATACATTGTTCATTTGCTGTTAATTGTAAACTGGCTAGCAAATGGCTTAATGCGTTTGACAATGTGACCGACTTAACTGACATGCTAAAAATGAGGCTTTATAGAAGACACAACATTGAAAGACATATGTCTTCACTCCTATACGCAGCATGTCAATGCTTAAGTGAGCCGTTTACACACGCTTCCTTGGAGGGAAATTACATTATAATAGAATGAACGTTACGTGTGAAAAATGTACTTCAACATGACAGTATGCAAATGCCAATGCTTAAGTGAGCCATTTATACACGCTTCCTTGGAGGGAAATAACCTTATAATTGAGTGAACGTTACGTGTGAAAAATGTACTTCAACATGACCAAAAATCAAGTGATAAATATTCGATCAATAACAACTAAACACTCTCGATAGATCTGCAAAGTAAATATGTTTCACAATCAGCTTACCCCTCTCACCTTTTTAGCTTATGGACATTCAGACACGCATTTTTTACATCACGTTCACGGCAATTCGTACCAAAAAAAACTTGCAAAGTTTTCTTTACTTCTGCAAAACTTTCTTTTGATTTGATCCAAGCAGATATGTTTCTGAAGCATAATATGTCTTTCGGTCTTTCGTAATCGATTATTTTGTAATAGCAAAAGCCACATACCATTAATTTGCATATGTGTTATGAATTATAAGAATCTACAAGTGTAAATGTATTAGTCAAAAGCACCTAGTTCTAATGCCTTCTTTTCTGCACAATTTAGCTAAAATGTTTACAAGAACATGATGAATGAATGTGGATTTGTATCACAAATGCGTTACTGGTAGAGTAACTGTACCAAAATAAGATTATTGAGGGATATGAGTTTTGTTCTAACCAAGTAAGTAATGATTCGTAAGATGTAGACTTACCTTTGTGTTAGAAAGTCTGAAAAGAATTTTGGTCTGTGAATAGTTAGAGTAGAATTGATACAGTCCTCATCTTTATTTAGTCTCACAAATACATGTAGTCGTTATAAGTAAATACAACTTTACCCTGAGTTTGTACTTGTATAGGCGCATGCAAAGAGGTTAAGGACTTTTAAAAAGTAACTCTTAAACTAAATGGGCTGTTTGTAATGTGCAAAAACACGTCATACAATAGTCCATAAGTCGTCTACTTTGCAGTACCAGCTCACTGTTTAATTACAATGTATAAGTGAATCCCTATAGTATGATAATCGACTTAAGAAAAGTTGAAAATCACATTTTGACAGAATTGTGTAGTAGCACGCGTACAACTTTGTAAACAAAAGTGTGTCAAAGGTTACTTATATTAACACACACTGGTTATGTACCATTTTTCATTCCGAGAGGCTGAATGTAATAAGTATTTCAAACGATACTTCATACACTTCCGTACTTACTGTCCCTTCGTAATCCTTGTAAATCCTTGTACAAAATGCTTTAGATAACTTTGCAACTTGTGTGAGTTTAATTGATAAATATATTTTGTCACAAATTTATGTACATATTTCGGCACAAACTAGATATATTTATCTTAAAAAAAGGATGTATTGGAGATTGTGACTTGTAGAACGTGTAGAAGGTGTAGAAATACGGTGATGATTTGTAAATTGGCCATATTTTTGAGCGAATGTGAGAAAACATCCCTTTTATTAAAGCAGTTTATAGTAACTTCAACAGGATTGTAAAAATGTAACTTTTGAGCTGTGACAATATGTAAACTTACGTCAATAACCTTGGGTTCACATCTATTTATAGCCCCAAAATGGCGTCGTTACAGCGCCCTCATTCGTTGAAGAGCTAGGCCCATTCCCGAAGGGGCATTTACGGAATAGAGGTTGAAAGGGGGCAGTGTATCGTACCGAGAACCCGTTTGTTGTGTGGAAAGATTTGCTGTTTTCCACGTCCATTACGAGTTGGGTTGGGAAACTGGGTAATGTCTTCTGAGCGTATTTTGACATTGAACCCGACCCCGTTTTCTGTGTCATACGATAGAGTAGGACACTAAATGGGGTCTCTCTATACTCACGTCTCTTGCTCTCACATTCTCACTTAATTTTCTGTCCCATTTACGAGGACTTGAAATTCAATTCAAAATTCCACAGCGATTTTTTTTTTCTGTTTCTTTTCATGAGACATTTGCCGCTTACGGGTCATATTGCTGTGAGATTATGTGTATATTTAAAGGTCCAAGATGTACGATTCACCCAAAAAAATGCATAAAAATGTTGACACTTTTGCAACTTAGGAAAACCGTTTATAAGTTTAGAACTGAAGTGTGAGATATTGGGTTAAAATTGTTAAGCCCTAAAAGTCTGGGTTTTGAGTGAATTCCCTGGACAAAGATGGCCTTGTTACATAGATAACAGAGGAGAAAATGTATATTGTTTCGGAAATTAAAGATTACAATTTTATGCCATGAGGTTTGTGATATTGAAAATTGCTTCGAAACTATATTGAATTGGAATTTCATATTTGGTATCATTGAAATTTATTTTGTTGTGTTATATTATTAAAGTTAGGGTTGTTAACTTAACAGAAAGTATCAGGAATGAAAATCAGGAATGAATTTCGGAATTTCACTCGGTTCCTTGTTAGTCATTATTTTAAGTTATCGTAAGTTTCAAGGTTCAAGCTGGACATTTGGATACCATTTTTACAATATTTGTTTTGTACGCTTTAATACTTATACCGGATATGATTTGAGTTAACTGCGGAAGATGTTTTTTTTAATTATGTGGAAATGGTAAACCTGTACAGGATATTTTGTTCTTCCTTTGTTGTTAATCAATAAATGCACAGCGTTAGAATTAAACTCTTCCAGGTCTAGTGTTTGTATCAAAGTTGATCAAGATTCCATGTTTGTGATGCTTTAGCATATTTTGGAGAACGAATAGATGTTCGTGGGTTATGTTATAATTATTTGGGTGGGCATGGGCGTCGCGAGGGAGCAAGGGGGCGCTTGTCCCCCCCCCCCCCCTCCCACCCCCGAAAAAAAAGCAAGAGTGAAAAAAGCTGAAAGAGACAGAGAGAAAAAAAAACGAAAAGGAAAAGGGGTGCGAAGTCATATTGCTATTAATTTTATACATGGGCAACCGCAGGCCTGGGTGTCAAAGGGAGTGGGTTGGGCAAATGTCCTGCCCCCCCCCCCCCGCCCACCCTCGAAAAAAATTGATAAATTGAGAAAATGCTAGAGAAAGTACAAGGATTTTGGGAAATAATGGGCTTTGCCCCCCTCTAGAAAAAAATCCTGCCGACGCCCATGCGGGTGGGTAAAATGAGAGTGGTGTAGGACTGTTTAACTATATACAATAGTTGCACTTACCCATCGTAACTTGTGATATCATGCGTTTACTTGAGGCATCCTTTGGTCATCGCATCCTGTCCATTGTAGTATGCAGGCAGACCTGTGAAAAGACGTCGGGAGGCAATATGGCCTGGCTTTTGTCGAGGCATAGATAAAGATGAGACTTTCTGTGATTCTGCAAAGATTAAATTTTGGGGGACTCTGCATCAAAGATATTTCTGAAGTCTGAGATCATTGCAGTTTAATAATTCAATCGTGGACTTCGGAACCTTTTCGACAGCTAGGGTAAAAAAAAAATAAGACGAAAATGCTATTATTTCATATCGCCATGGGAATTATTTATACACAATTTATTCAATAAACGGGCGATTAGTTCTTCAAAATACGTCCTTCAGATCATTTTACTTTCCAAATCCAAAACAGGTGATTCTCAAGCCATAAATCGGGCAGTCTTTTTGGTGTATCCTACCTTGTTGTAAGGTCTCAGCCGATGATACAGCGAAATATGCAAGCACTGAATCATATTGTGGTACAGCTGCCCGGGTGAAGCACCGCTGGTCGGCTGAAGACAGGTGATACTTGATTCATTCTGAGATTTACAGAGTCTCCCTGGATGCATGGTGAAAAAAACCCATATAAGTTAGTCATGAAAAACACCCGAATTTAATTGAGTTTTGCAGTTTTACCGACGTATTTTTTGTTAATAAGTATTCATTGATGATACAGTGTTCATATAATTTAATTGGTGAAGGGCAACACCCGATATTAAAAACTAAATCTCACTGAAGCAATCTTACATTTTATCCCACATTCTTGTGGTGCCAAGGTTTCTTTTCAAAAGTCCTGGTATTTGATGTAGTTTCCGACTGAGGATTAGGAGTCGAAAGATGCGACACTGGTGAAGGGGGCTGTGGTTTTAAATTGAACTTTAGTCATGTCAATTGTTGTGGTCTGTGGAACATATAGGTGCATCTATCAGCAAATGCTGGTCACTCAACTGGGAAACTTGACTAATCATATTCCAACTGATATCTATTTTGTGTTTGGGAAGCAAAAATTACAACTCGATGCTTGAGACGATAGCAACTCTGCCTGGTTCTTGCCGGTCTTTCAAGTCCGGCCGTTGATGGTTGCTACTACCACCGTCACTGACACTTTTCGTCTGAGCATCTTATAAGCCACAAAATTTATCACTGGAAATGTCATTCAAGAGTATTGGAAATCTCACCAGAGATGGTGGCGGTATGGAGGTTGTTGAAGCTGGGTGATGCTGGTACGGTGCGCTGTCAAGAAGCAATCGGTTGTCGATGTCAAAAGGAAACAAGAGCATGGCGGTGCGGCGCGCGGTTGAAGACGATGTACGACCGTGATGTGGCAGTTGAGCAGTGCAGTCATCAAGCCAGCGATCACAATCAAAGCATTCGTCGTGAATTGGAATCTGGCGCAACAAAGCCATTTCTGCCATCGAGTGATGCATGTAAAACATCAATAATCCCAAATATTTAGCACAATAAACGAGCGCACTGTAGGCCTACCTTACCCGAAGAGATCAATTTGTGTTCTGAAGACTGTTGCGCTGTTACATAGTCACCACCACTGACGAAGCATCAACACGGATGCCTCACTAAAAGAACACATGCACTCGTTGTTTGGGCAATAACTCAAGAAATACCATATGTATTAAGCTGAAATTTCGTCCAGTGATTGGTCTTGATGTGTAAATTAGGATATTTGATTACATGAGAAACAGCTAAACCATAAAAAAAAGATATGACGGAAACAATAAGAGTTTTAAACGCGAGAAATTCAATCCGAATGAAAATCAACGTTCGTGGTAAATACAACACACTCATTTGGGGGGCAATTACCTGTGAATTACCAGTTGTTTTAAGCTGAAATTTCGTCCAGTGATTGGTCTTGATGTGTAAACATTAGGAGAATTAATTTCGTGAGAAACCGTCAAACATTAAAATAAAATGACTGAATAAATGTAACGTTTTAAACGCGAAAAAAATACAGTCCGAAAGAAAGTCGATTTTCACAAAATTATCACAAAAGCATTTAACAAAAGTATCACATTCCTCTTGTTTAGGCTCGTCCAAACATTTTATTAAAGGTACAAATGTACAATATTCGAATCTAATCTCATCTAGTCTAATTAAGGGTGAAAAATGCAGTTTTTAAAATTAAATTTTAGTTTCACCATTTTGTAACGAATATACAAAGCTGGCAGTGTTTTTGTCTGCGAAGTCACAAGTTCATACTTTAAGTTGTTCGTCCATTCTAAGCGACTGAGCTGAAGGAATTAATTGAAACAAAATCTGAGAAAGAAAAACTAAATAATAATGTCCTTTAACACATTTTACAAAACAATTCCATGTGTGCTTTGTCCGCTGGATTAAAATTGCAATTCCACAAGTTGTGAAGGAACGATTGGGTAATTAATTTTTCTGAGGCGATATCTCAAACATCCACGTATTGGCCGGGTTTGTCCTTTCTATGCCACCAACTCTCATACCAACTATTTTCCATAGGCCTACAACAAAACTGTCACAGTATTTTCAACTACACACATAAATCCTCCTTGCAGAGACGGTAACATACACGCTGCAAGACGACCATTGAAACCCTTCATCAAAGGAGGGCGATAGACACATTTGCTTGACGGCTATACATGCGATTAAAACGGCGCAACAAAGAGAAGTGTTTAAAGGGAAAATTCAACATTTGCAAACATCAAAAAATAAAACTACCAAATCATTTTGAAATACCTTGCTGGACTGTTAGTGAATGACAGTGTAAAGCATCCTGTAAAATCATGGCACCTGGTATATTGTCATTTTCAAGAAAAGTGGTATTTTTGTATCAATTTCCAACTCTGATCGGCCGATCAGCGTTGGAAAAAACTGGCTTTTTTCAAATACTGGCCCCAATTAACCATCGCACTTATTTGCAATCGATTACACACCTATGAACGGGTACAAGCCAGCTAGACTGGTTCCCTGACCTTACAATTCCCCAATGTACGTAAACTGCTCTGTTTCTTCTTAAATGGAGTCAGGGAACCAGACTACGGGAAAATGATTGTTTTTCTTGGTTTTTATAGCATTTTCGAACTCAAAACCTCAAAAAAGTCAGTGTAACTATATTTGCTATATATTTCCAACCCCCCAATTCCATCCATTTCTGAAAATTACAGCAAAAGCAAATGATGTATATTCCCTTTAAGCTGTCGACCATTTTTGACAAGGGCTTCATGCAGGTTGCAGCATATATGCACCCAATTTTGACGGATGAGTTTTGCCTTTATCAACCTCAGAACACGCACTAAATGCAGGCCTACAACACCATTAACTATATGTTCTGTTTGGAGGGAAAGAGGAGTTAAACGTCTCGGAGCAACACGAATCGTTCAACAATGTAAACAGTAAGAAGTAAGAACAAATCTACGCAGGTTTCCACAACCCCATGTACACCTGATTATCACTTTACAGTCAAAGCTACTAGATCTCGATTTCATACGCAGGATTTGAATGACCAACGCCATTTCTAATAGGAGTCTCTGCTATGGAAATATGCAAATCGGCACTAGAGTGGCTGTGATCAGGCGTTGGAGTTGTAGGGTTGCCATGACAACATCGCAAGCGAGCTTGGATTTTCCGCTTAGCCGGAATTAGTAGCATACTTAACGATGCTAGGACAAAACTGGCGACTAAGACGAGTAGACTCAGGGTGTAGTCTCCCGTCAAGTCGTAAAGACTATCTGGGAAAATAAATACAAAAAAATAAACAAAATGTTATGAAAACAAGTTATGAAAAAAACAATTACCATGAAAATCACATCAATTTGGGATTCCTTAGGGTGTTTAATAACTTATCAGTTTGTCTAAAAAGGTGACTACGTAAGTAAGCTGTGACAGCGCCAAGTACCTAGTGCTGAAAATACACAAAATATATCTTATGACTTCATATGCCTTTTTTTTGTTGCTTGTTTCGAATGTGCTCAATGGGATGATGAATCAGCTCTAAACTCGCTCTAAACTGTAGGGACCACGTGAACCGTTTCACGGCTACCGCCATCTTTGTGGTCACGTGGTAATCTCAGGGGAAATTTCATTGAAAACAAATCTCAACATGCTCAGGAAACCAAGGCATGACCGGACTTATCATTTTCAATAAATTGCTGGTATCAACGACCACAAAGATGGCGGGTATCCTTGAAACGATCCATGTCGCATTTGTCCGAGATCCATCTTGTGACGAATTGGAATCATTTTCATTGGCTACTTACCGATAATGGGAGATCCTAGAATTCCTAAGCCGAATCCAAGCAACACGATGGACGTGACGGCACGAGAGCCGTAGACGCCAAAAAGTTCGTCCCCGGCTGCAATACAGGCACCGTAGGTCCCCCCACGGAATATACCCCAAGCTGAAATGTGAAGGGGAAAAAAAAAAGAATGAGTGGACAAAGTTTGTTTAAAAAAATGTTTTGCGTATATGGCAGTTTTAAATAATTCACTTTAAAGTTTATATACTGATGCTTTCTTAGTCGTATATACATTTTTGACAAAGTACTTAAGACTGGCAAAAAGGCAATCAAATTTCAACTTCTACTACGTTCCGTGGTTTTCTTTAATCAATAGAATTCATTAAATCCTCAAGGAAAAATCACTATTTTATTATTTTGCGTTTGCTCAGTTTCTTGAAAATAATCGTCAGTTACTAGCAATCTTATCTCTTGTTACAATATCAAGATTTTCATTTAAACTTCTTTACTTTTAGCGTTTCAAACTCTACCTTAAGTTTCTTTCACTTTGCAATTGATATACTGATGCGTTCTTAGCCAGGCCTTATAATATTGGAACTCGCGTAACACTCACTAACTGACTGTCACTTGTGATCCGAGCAGTGCTGTCGTATAGGATTACCTCGTAACGTCAATGAATGAGCTGAATTTGCCCCATTGATGTTTGATCGGTAAACAAAAAAACATTTTGACTAAAATACTTGGACAAAAACATTATTTTAATTGATTGGAGTAGTCACCCGTTGCAAGGACAATCATGTGTTGGAAAGTTGAGCACAGCGTCAGGAAGCCCGAGACAACAGCGCCACCAAGAGAGCTACAAGCGATGAGGTACAACTTCAAACATGGCAGGCGGTCTCCGAACATGGCGAAGAGGATCTTACAGCCGACCTCGGCAGCTCCAAAGACCAGGAGGGCCAGGGAGATCTGCTCGGTAGACAGGCCGATCCCTTCCATGAAGCTAGACTGGGAAATGGAAGTACAATTGAAAATATTTTGTGGGGTTTTTTTTCATGTGGGATCACTTTGGGTACATTTTTGTTTTCGTTAGAATAGAAGCAGTAAAAACAAAAAGAACCAAAAAATTCCTACTTTTCTTATGGACAACTCGTCACCGTTTTCACGAAGAGCCAATCGATTTCGATTGTTTTTTTTCTCTCACTATTTTGCTTTAAAACATTGTACTTAACCATTTTGACATGTTTCTGTAAGCAAAACATCATTAATTTCCAAATTACGTTAATGATGCAAGGGGCAGAAATCTCGATAATTGCATTTTGCGTTTTCACGAAGAGCAACATATCTTTGTTATATTCTCAGCTGCGGGCGCGTTCACACGCGCGCCCCTTCCATATGGAAAAACACATTGAACAGAATGGGCTAGAAACTTGAATTTTCGTTTTCATGAAGAGACACATTATCTTTGCTAATTAATGTTCACTAATTAACTACTGTATTCATTCTAATTCACGTAAAAAATCAGCTCTCATAGAATCATGTGAAGGTTTCCATACTGCACAATGTTGTTGCAAAGTAGTATTTTGTGCAATTTTAAAATAGGAGAAACATCTTTTGCGATTATCTCCAAAACGCTTTTTCTTCTAATTCCTGTGGCTCTTCGTGAAAACGCTGACGAACTGTCAAAATAATTAAATATCCTGCTTAATTGTAAGTAAATAACACGACCATGCATACTGTAAAATCCTTTTGCTTGGTACATGCTGTCATTTTCGAGAAAAGATGATTTACCATCGTTTCCTCGCGATGACTGCACTTTCAACGGAGTATGCTTTGCGTCGAGAAAAATGAAGATGCATTTACACAGTTTTCTCACAAAATATGATATCTACTGAGCTGCAATTTCGACAGGTTAGTTATTATTAATAGCCTGCATCATGTTTATTTTATCGTTGTTCCCTGAATCGGCAAAAAAACCCACATTTTTATAAATGTCGTCCATTATTAAGTATGATGCATAATAAATAACCTGTTGAAGTTTCAGCTCGGTGGATACTAAACATTTTGAGAAAACAGAGAGAACAATAATTCTGTTTTCGTTTCGTACTGGTATTCTGCGTATAAAAAGTGTGCCCTAATGGGCACCCTATTTTGAAACAGCCTTCAATGAAAGTTTTCTTCCAAACAATACCATTTCAGGCAGAGTAACTTCACAGGGTATTTGATACCAGTCATGTCTTCGCTTTGAGCAAGGTTTCTTTCATTAAATCGGTACAGGTAGCTTTCCTGGTAATTATACAAATGATCCGACGCGGCTGGAATCATCAATAGAGGTAATTTCATACCAATTGTTTTTACATAATCACGCCCAAAAAGTCTTAGGCCCTAATCATAATCCGGAAGTTGACACTCCGTGTAAAAAAAATACGAAAACGCAATAAGAATCTGTCAATACTTACGAAATTCAGAATCACAAAGGACCAGCCGAACTGAGCGAGTGTAATTGCTGTCACCCACAACCACATCTCGGCATCCAGAAAAATTTTAGTAATGCGAACTTTCGCTTTGGTCAGATCACTGTCGACACTCGTCGAATTCGGTTCTTCGCTTTTATCTGTTTCTTCGACAATCTCACCGTTTCTCCGTTCCGCACCGGGAGATTGCCTCTTCTGTGAAGTTAAATGTGTGACGGTAGTAATGCGAACTTTGGTCAGATCACTGTCGACACTCGTCGAATTCGGTTCTTCGCTTGTATCTGTTTCTTCGACAATCTCCCCGTTTCTCTGTTCCGCACCGGGAGATTGCCTCTTCTGAGAAGTCAACTGTGCGACGGTGGTAATGCGAACTTTGGTCAGATCACCGTCGACACTCGTCGAATTCGGTTCTTCGCTTCTATCTCTTTCTTCGACAGTCACCCCATTTCTCTGTTCCTCATCAGGAGATTGTCGGTTCTGAGTCGAAGAGACTGTGAGGGTATCATCCTGTCCAGTTTGGGCTGGTCTATTCGCTGGTGATTTGAGGAACGGTATGGCACCTGCTAAGCCTAGAAGTAGAACGATCCCACTGAGTATTCTGAAACAGTTCCTCCAGCCGTATGCAGCTCGCAGTGTATTCAGTACTGGACCGAATACCATTACACCTGTAAAAAACAGTGGACAGAAAAAAAGTATCTGAAAGATTTTTGTTTAACAAATAGTTAAAAAAAGAAAAAAAAGAATAAAAATCCCACCATATAAACGTGATGTTTGGTTACTCATTAGGCTGCAAATAGTGTGATTAAAGATGTTCTGTCCGTGTTTTTTTTAAATATTTTTTATACATTACCCCCAAAATAGATTTCACTTCAAATTTATATTTTTTAAGCTATACAAAAGATTTTCACTTTTAAGTGAAATATTGAAACCTAAAAAATTGGCTTATATAAGTTAAGTCATGGAACAAATACTTCCAAAATGTCGGTTTTGCTTATAACTGAAGATGTACATTATATAAATAAAGAAATAGTTACCAAATGAAGTTCCAATTAGCGCCCCGCCGGTTGCACGACAGCTACTCTCATGGCCCGAGTACCAGTCTAAAAGCAGACTGCCGGCCGCACAGTTTGCCAGACTGGAACCCAGACCCACTAGGAGACCGAAGGTCAGGTACCCGTACTCCAACGAGGGAATGAACGAGGTGGACAGGTAGCCAGCGGATGCGAGGATCGTACCGAGAAGCACCAGACGAAGATTGCCCAGTTTGGTAGCCACGATTGCAGCGAGTGGAACGACTGCACAGTAGACGCCAGAACCTAGGGAACCCACCCAACCTGCAACAAAGAAGAACAAAACGAAACTGGCTAATACGGTCCATGCATAGTCTGTAGATAGCACTAAAACAACACATTCTTTCGGCTAATCGTCCAATTTCAATTGATGTTAAGACCTTTCATTTTATTGTTGATTAATTTAATCATCACTATAACAACAAATTCTTTCGGCGAATCGTCCAATTTCAATTGATGTTGAGACCTTTCATTTTATTGTTGATTAATTTAATCATCAGACCATCAGATGAGAAAAGGGATGTGAACTCTTTGCCTACTTTGTATTTTATTGTATGTCATCGCACTTAAATTCTGCTAAAGTACTGCTTAACGCGTGACAAAATTATGTTAGCCTCGCAATAACTTTAATCAATGTGTTTCGTATTAATATTAGGTAATATTTTTGTGTTGATATTACAGCTAAATTTATTTTCAACTGAGAGATCTTAAATAGCTTATTTTATAAACCAGTTTTGACCCAAAAAAATTAAACAGCGAAAAAACTGACTAGCAAAATAACAGAAATATCTCGCAAGGGTTAAGCTTGCCTTTTTGAAACAGAATGTATCGTGTTCGTAAAAATTAAAATGAATTAGTGTACGTTTTGACAGAGAATCTGGTACACGGTACCCTGTGGAGACATGTGCACAAAAGATTGTATACGTCTCCACAGAGCAATTTCTATAGGTGAATAGACAAGGTTATCACGAAATAGATATATGAATTTTACTTAAAAACTAGGAATGTCCTAGTTGTGTTGATCCGTCGCAAATTGAAGTATTTCATGAAAGAGATTTAAGTCCGAATTTCAGCCCAGGAAATTAATTCTGGTTAAAATACTCGCATTTTTAAAGCACACTTTGAAAGTACACTTTTAAACTCGAAATATTTAGTACACGAGAACAAAGAAATGACTCCACAAAGATAAAAAAAAAATCCAGCATGAATGTATTATCATCGCAACAACAAAAAATAAGCCTAAAATATTATCTCCTAAATAGCTGCTGCTTGAAAGGGATAAGTGAAATGGCTTACCGGTAAAAACTGCGCTCTTTTGAAACTCCTCTTTAAGATCAACGAAGAAGACGTTGTAATTGTACACCGGGCCCGCCGTCACGAAGAACTGAATGAACGCCGCTACGACAACCAAAAACCTCCAGTTAACCGACATCTTTAAGTTTAATCTGAGTCACATCGGCATTTACAAGAGTCCACGAAAGTTCTCGACTCATTCCCGAGAAATATTTGTCCCGAGTGGATACGCTTGGGTCATTTTGGTCCGTAATATTTTGAAACGTTTACAAGATGTACCTACATCTAGATGCTTCTATATTACACTGTACACTACGAAGAATCCATCTTCTTCTAGTGTAATCATCCTTAGATGGGAACTTAGACTTTGAGTGACATTAATTGTTCAAGATGGGACCTTGAAGTTGTTTTGCTTGTACAAGGCAGCTGCGCATTAATACTCACAACCCGATCAAAAAGAGTTTGAAACGCAAGAATGTTTTCCAATATCCAGGAAACTCTGTGTGCTTAGCCTAGTTAAAACATTTGTGGAATCGAACAGTTGAAAATGCTACTTCTTTCCAAAAATGTTGGAGACGTAGGGAGGGCTGAGGCTGCTTTGGGAACATTTCTGTCCCAAAAATCCAATATTGATTATGTCAGCGCTTATTACTTGTCCTTATCCCGTACTTGCCCTCGGATACGTCCGTGTTGTTTCACCTTTTCGCCATATCAAGGGCGAGGCCGTGACCAGATGAAAACCCGGTAAAGTTCAGCTCGTTCGCTCATGTGCCGTAAAAGCGGACGAGCGCCCTCTATTTGTGAACAAAAGTCAGTCTGACCTCTGGGCGAACTCCATCAGATGGGCAGGACTGAATAAAGGACGAAAATCTGAGTCTCAGAAATAATATGTTTATTCCCTTGTATTACAAGGGAATGAAAGGAAATTATAATATCTAAAAACATAAAAAGTTGAACATTTTATTAAAAATCATTATTGATCTCGTTTTATCTTTTTGTTATAGGCTTAATCAGTTAATTAAGCACTGTTTTTACCCTTTCCTGTATTTGTTTCTTTTAATAACGTGCTACATTGATTTTGTGTGTATGATATTTCTTTTATTTAATGGGTGAACTTTAGACATGCTTTCTTTGCTTCTCGATATCGCACAATGAGGAGAATATGAGTTACACAGGTCAACCACTAGCCGACAACAATAACATTTTGTATGCACATATTCTAAAAGAGTTCACAATCATATTCGCCATGCATTCATTGTAACAACGGCAACGGACCGTATCATAGTGTAATATTGGTATGTATTGAGTTTGCTGTTTGCATTGTGTGCGATTTATGGGTTTCACGGAAGTTGGGGAATGCCCTGATTGAGCAAAAATCGGTTTGTCACGTGGTAATGACTCATACTTTGCCAAAACCCAACAAATTGCGACATCAATGTTACGAAAATGTCTCCAAAAACCTGTTATTCTGAATAATACAATCTGTTTTAGTCGTCATGTATGGATTTAACGTTTTCTCCATCTACTGCTCAACTTGGTGCATGTCCCTTGACAGGTGGTTTTTACGTATGTTTTATATGCTTTTTATTTTCAGGAATGCTTAGGCTGTAGCCTGGTGGCCTAACGGTTATTCGGTTCGCCTCGCACCTGAAGGGGCGGGTGTTCGAATCCCCGTCCCACCCCCGACAAAATTATCAAAACAAAAACAAAAAAAGGAAAAGCACAAAAAAATGTACATTGAACACCACCAAGCAGATATAGGCTTTTCAAACTAAGTTACTGTATCTGGTACTTAGTTGTACAAATTAGTTGATGTAAATAATAAATAAAAAGGTGGTTCCTTTGTAGGTATAAAGGTGTAAGGTTGAAGAGTCGAATAGCAACAAGGTCAGTGAGCTACAGCCTTTTACAACTGGAATTGGTGTAATCAATCTCAGTTTCATTTCCCAAAAAAATATTTCCCTCTGAAGCAAAGAAATAAACCATGGCAACGGAGCAACGGAGGCATAATTACGAGATGCGGAAGCTTACATGGGTATGCCTTTACATAAAAACAACACTGAAAAGTATTAAATGTACTACTCACCCAAAAAAAGGTTTCAATACAGAAGACTTTAAAAGAACACCATCTCATAGCCACACATCTCATGCATGCAATGTCCACAATCGTCATTTATTCCATTGTATCTCACATTCGTAATGTTATTATTATCGCCATGACAATATCTTCCTTACCGTTACCATTCTTAGCGACGATCCCCCCCCCCTCCACTTCTTCTTGAAGAGTCTCATTCGTTCATGTTGTTTTTCAACATTTGTTTGTATTTGCGAAATAACGCAATACTCTTGCGAATAATTTCGGCTCGGGTAATTATCAGCATCCAGAATCCAACCGGTCTCAAACAGAGTGTTTAAAACCGGCAAATCACTCATCTATTCTCTTATTAACAATCATTATAGATGTCGTTTTATCGTTTTTTTTTTTTTTTTTTCAAAGTCGAATCCGGCGAACTTAAGTAATGCTACAGTTAAATAATGAAAGGTTTGCGGAAACACCAAGTGCGAATAATTTCTCGACTAAGAGGATGGTTCTGAAAAGAACCAGAGGTATAAACTCGACGTTCCGGTCAGTATGCTCTGACCGTCTTCAGGAGAGTGCCTAAAAGCGGTCAGAGCATACTGACCGGAACGTCGAGTTTATACCTCTGGTTCTTTTCAGAACCATTCTCTTAGTTGAGAAATTATTCGCACATGGTGTTTCCGAAAACCTTTCATTATTTAGTATTTCCACCATGCAAAGCCTCAAATCTTACTAATGCTACAGTCCATCATTTGCAGGAATTCAAAAACTACTGACGTAGTAATTGTTCAAAAACATACTTGTTTTAAAGTTAATAATGATACTAAACTCCCTGTGAAATTATTCTTTCTGACAAGCTGTCATTTTGAAGAAACCTATAAAAGAAGGTCTTTCCAGCGATGCGTCTAAAGACACACTCATGAGTAGTTCGTTTTTAATTCGGCGAAAAGCGTGCGCAAGCATTGACACGACGCACACGCGCGCGCGGTTGCTATCCGGTTCGTAAGTGACTTCGTCATACACGCGCACGCACCACTGATTACGAGCGCCCATTGGATAAACACTCAAGTTGCGTTAACTTCCGGTTCCATTGGTGCCATGCTACACGTACAGTATAAAGCATGGCTAAGTTGAGATGACGTCACACTTACGAACCGGATAATTCGTCGGTTCAGTGCGCGCCATCTCGTAGCTGCAATCGGCTCAGTGAGAACGTGTCTCAAATGCAGCTGAATTCAGGCCCAATTCTAAACATGACTCAGCAACTTTTGATTTGAAATCGAGATCCTAGAATATCGTTTTCTCGGAATAGCAGCATTCACTGAGCTGAAACTTCATCAGGTTAGCTGCAGTTCAGCACCCTTCTTTAGAATTGGAACACTTTTGTAACTTCAAACGAACATGATGCAAAAATTACAAATGATGGACTGTACCTTTAAAAACTTTATTGTGGCGGTGTCACGCTCACGCGCATGCTGCACGCGTTCTTTAAGACGAGGCGCACGCACATTTTGGTATTCCTATTGGTCGAAGGAGCCCGGATCGCGGAGTGCGTGTGTATTACCTGAGCGCGACTCGCGCGAGCCTGTTGCCACCGCAGAATTGCAGCTGCCGCCAGATTTTTCTATAGGCCTAACCAGCTAGGGCCCAATTTCACGGTGCGGCTAAGCACACGATTTTATGCTAACAGAGCCTCCGTCTATTTCATGGAGACCGTAAACATAAGCACATCAAAAGGCACGTTTACTCCAGAAGAAAAATTTGCTTTAAACTTAGTGGCAATAAAAATCTATAATTATGCCCGCACCACCGTTAGCACATCCACGCTGTGAAATAGTGCTTAAGGTCAAGGGCGGATCCAGAACACAATTTTTTTGGGGGGCCCCAAAAAAATTTGGTCTGCCTAAAAAGTGGGTCAAACCAATTACGGCGTGGGGTTCGGGGCCCGCTTAAGGGCCCCGAAAAAAATTTGGATTCTAGATGCTCTGTGGTGCGATCTGAGGCAATTTCTGACCACTTTAACAGATGTTTTTTTGAGGAAAAGATGGTGGTGTACTCATTGCCTGCCTTTATTGCGATTCGTTTTTTTTGGGGGGGGGGGGGGGGGCATGGCCCCCTTTGCCCCCCCCCCCCCGGATCCGCCCTTGCTTAAGGTAAGCACTTGGTTTTTTTTCTGCTATGCTAAGCACAACTATTCTGCTAACTGTTAAGCAGCGCCGTGGATTTGGCCCAGATAATAAGTAGGCTTACTGTTTTTATCCTTTTCTGTAATTGTTTACTTTAATAACGTACAATATCCATTCTGTTTGTGTCTGTGATTTTTTTTATTTGATGGCTGAACATTAGACATGCTTTCTTTGCTTGTCGATATCGCACAATGAAAAGATTATTATTTACACGGGTCAACCACTAGCCGACAACAATAACATAATTTTTCATGCACATTCTCTTAAAGAGTTCGCAAACATTATTCGCCATGCATTTATTGTAACAACGGCAACAGACCCTGTCATAATGTATTATTTGCATGTATTAACATTGAGTTTGCATTGCGTGCGATTGCTGGGTTCCGCGGAAGTTGGGGAATTTCCCTAGCTGAGCAACGGTCGGTTTGTCACGTGGGGACGGATGACTCATACTGCGCCAAAACCCGATAAATTGCGACATCACAGTCACGAAAATGTCTCCAAAAACCGTTATTCTGAGTAAGTGACAATCTAATTTTATCGTCACATATGTATTTATGATAGTCTTGTTTGTACTGCATAACTCGGTGCATGTCTCTTGACAGGTGGTTTTTATGTATATTTTATATGCTTTTTATTTTCATGAATGGTTAGGCTGTAGCCTGGTGGCCTAACGGTTATTCGGTTCGCCTTGCACCTGAAGGGGCGGGTGTTCGAATCCCCGTCCCACCACTGACAAAATTATCCAAAAAAAAAAAAAAAAAAAGGAAAACACAAAAAAAGAAAACAAAACCATCAGAAAATTCACCAAAAAAAAAAAAAAAATGGAAAATCACAAAAAAATTAATTAAAGTTTACGTTAAAATCCAAGTA